ATAAAAAAAAAAAAAAAGATCCTTTGCCTTTACGAGGAGACTGCTGTCAAGTAAAAAGCGAGTTCTTTTCCTCGAAAAGGCTAGCGTAGACTAACCGAAGTATCCGGAATATATATAAAGAGGGGAGCAAATCATAGTGTAAATAATGTAGACTGCACTTTCGAACGGCATTCGATAAAACTCCAGATCTATTTTAAGATGAATATACGTTTAACTGGCACCTTTTTAATATTAACTAAGCCCTCAGTCCTAATAAATCAAGTTGAAACCTTACGTATGCGCACTTAGCAATACTACCGTAAACAATATTTAAGTAAACTCGACTTGTTACCTCCTTGTGTCGTCGTGACGTATGTGCAGGTAATCAAGTACAGCCAAAGAACTTGAACTTTCATTGCAACTCGAGGCCACAATTTAGAGCAAGTTAAATACAGTGTATCAAGCAGTTAAAAGCTAAGTTGCAATTTTTAGGCGAACTGTGGCAAATTAGAAAAATCAGAATTGGTTAACGTAAACGGTGTGGCTCTCAAGAAAGCATTAAGTCATGATCCTGTTATGCGCTATATAAAAAGCAGCTCGAAATATGCGTGCTGAAGCGACACCTTTTAAGGGAATTAGCTTTCTGGCTGCCACAAAACTGAAAGTATAGTAAGAACAATTTTGCTGTTAGCAGCTACGGCCCGTGACTGATCACATCGTTGAATGTTTACATCTCTGGCCGTATGCATTTTAATATATGTAATCCGCGATGAAGGGCAATTAAAAGGCATATTAAATAATCTTTAACTAACAAAAAAATGTAAAACTTCCCATCCTGATAGTGGAAGGGGTATACAGTCAGCAATGGCACCCAATGACTGTTTTCTGTAAAAATCTGTTCGGAGAAGCAAATTTTGTATAGCAATAGAATTTTCTGCACTTGAGGACGGCTAAAAATGTCTAGATCACCGTTCCATTCATGGACAATTTTCGAAGCTTATATGATGAATTCTCGCACGACTTTCTTAACTGATCAGGGCCCGGTTCCTGAAAGGCCGATTAGCGTTAATCCAGGATTAAAATTTTGCTTGCTTTTTTGTATTTCACATTCCTATGCATTGCTTACATTGTGTGTTTTCCCGTACTAAAGGCTCGACAGTATTTTGTCGTCTCGAGTTGCATGTTCTTAGACGAGAAAACCGTGCTTGGTGAAATTTGGCTTAATGCTGGATTAAACTTAACCATCTTTCTAGGAACCGGGGGTCCTGGAGTTTAATTTTCACATTTCACTTCTAAGTTAAGCTATTTTTCCCGAAAAAAAGAAACGAGAGCAAACCTAAAATTTTCAGATTCAAAAATACAATGGTGAGTGAAAATGTCTCACTTTCGTAATACGTCAAATTGCATCTATTATTTTTGGAAATACAATAAGGAGGAGAAGTCCTTACGTCACGTTGCTATTGTAGCATAAATTTTGTATGACAACAAACCGGAAACATCACTTAAAAAGTAAATTCGCACTGCATCAAACTTCATCCATCTTATTCAATTTTATTTAATTTGTCAAATATTGGCGAAATTTTCTGGGGTTTAACCCGAAAGGACCATATCTAAGTTTAGAAAAACAAAAAGACAATTTCTGTCTTGTGTTCACTGACTCCATAAAGCGAGTGCGGAAAATGAGCAATTTTCATGTCGTAGTTGTGCAACAGTGGAAAAGAAATGTGAAAAAGAGCGTGATGCACGTGCAAATTTGTTGTTTTGTTATTAAAAACCTATTATTTTTTGCCGTTCTCCGTGTCGTCCCCTTCGTCGTTGGTTTCTTTTTCATCCAGAAATAGTGCTACCATGGTAACGTGACGTCACTCTTTTCCTTTCTATATTCATGCCCTTGTAATTTCGAAAAGGCTCAAATTCCCCTAGGATGACCGAACAGATACAAATAAAGTCAGACATTTCAAGAACTCGTTGAACAGTAACTCTACTGGGTAAAGCTGAATAATCATAAGAGTATTCTTACATTGCACATTTAGCGTTGCCGTGCTGGACTGAGCTGTCCCAACAACGTTGGCAGACACACATATGTATTGGCCACTGTCTCCTCTGCTCACATTCGTTATGACCAAGAGTGTGTTATCTAATGATAAACTGATTCTTGACGTCAAATTAACAACAGATCCGTCTTTTGTCCATGACAATGTGGGTGAAGGATTTCCAGACGTATCACAGGTAAAGGTAGCGTTGTCCCCTTCTGTCAATGTCTGATTTTTTGGATATTGGATGAATTCAGGACGATCTGTAAATACATAAATACCCTTTAGGGCAGATTTTATAAATATAACTTGAAAATATTGTTTCTTTCCTTGTTTTTCCCACATCAAAAGGACAAAGTAACCTTTATTTGTTTTCTTAAACGAACAGTAGACTAGCCTATTTAAGTATTCAATTAAACGTTACTCTGAATCTTGGAGAACGAGTCTCGCCAAGGTACATAAGTTGCATGAAAGGTCCTTATTTAAGCGCCACTTCTGAAAGTTATTTTATTGAATATCAAAATTAATTGGCAAACATGAATTAAATTTCTCATGAGTTGGTATAGTAAAACATCGTTTTTACAAACGATGCAGCTAAGTAATTTAATTGTTCGAGAAAAAAAAACTAAGATCCATCGACCGGTTTAAAGATTTCCCCTTGTATTCCAACATTCTTGCCTTTCTTTTGGAGAACAACAACCACGATGGACGTTATTTAGTTCACAGATTATGACATTTATTCCTCACGAACTCTGTATCTCTGTTTTCACAAATTTTGTTGATTATTGTGGGTATATTTTATTGTGATGTACGTTGAACTTCCTTCATTCCTACGTTTCTTTAAATTAAAGAATGAAAATATTGTAACAGAGCAAAACAATGACGAAAATTTTAAGGGTGCGTTTACAGTGTTTGTAATCTAAACATGTACAAGGAAAGGTAATGCACTTCTTCATTCAATATTTTCTATGTAAAGAAAGTGAAGAAAACTGAGTTTCCAATGTATCGAATTTCTAACCAGCTTTCCATAAACAAAAACAACAACAAATACATGAAAAACATAAAATATTCTTACAATATGCGTTAAGTGAAGCAGAATTGGACTGATAGTCTCCAATATAGTTAGTAGCTCTACAGACGTATTCTCCGCTGTCTGTTCTCTGTTCACATTCGTTATGAATAACTGCTTAATATCGGATGAAAAACCTATCCTTAGAGTAGTATTGACAGCAGCTCCGTCTTTGCTCCACAAGAAAATATGTTCAGGATTTCCTGTCGCATCACAAGTGAAAGTCACTTTTTCTCCCTCTATCTTTGTCTGATTTATAGGATAAGTGGTGAGCTCAGGTGGAAGTGAAATAATAATAATAATCATAATAATAATAATAATAATAATAATAATAATAATAATAATAATAATAAATAGATTAAACAATAGTTACTCTATGTAAAAAAGAAAAATGCAACATGTGGGGTTAATTTGGGCAAAGCTTTGCCCTGTGTCTTAACTCTAGCATAAAGTCAGGAGGGAAGCGGAGTGAACTCGCGCCGGTGCAAAGGGGGGAATTTCATATATCCCATGATGCATCACTTCACACTATATTATCCAGCTTCCGAACACACGTGATTCTATCAGTTAAACAGGGACGTGACAGTTGCCCGGGGGACAGTTGAACAACAGTAGAAAGCGACTTGTTTTGCCGATAAAACTTTCTGTAACTTTGCTGTGTCGATCTATTTACGGTTTTCGTTTTACTATTCCAAACATATCTCTTGTTAAGTCATAGAGAGTGTTTTGGCCGCCGATTATGAGTTAACTAGTAGCCTTACGATAGCAAAGCAGTCCACGCAAATGTTCTTAGAAGCTGACGAGGAAGGTCTTTGCGTCAGTGCGTCTTGTTTTAACATGCGTTGACAAAGCTCTCCATGGATTAACAAGCGATTTCCACGTACTTGTATTGAAATAAATGCATATTCTCTAGAGGTGTGAGATTTCTCTTCGTTGCTTGTTGGTGATCCCGGTGTTCACATTTTCAGTTCAATAATTCATCGACGCAGTACATCAACCGTACGGTGACCGCACATGCTTTTACTTCAACAAGCTCGGCTTATGTAGTCGAAAATAGAGCGTTACAGTGCAAAGTGACGTCTATCGGCGATAAAATTCAAAGGAGGGGAATAGCTCCAACAAACAATAAAAATAACAAACACATCTCTATATTTTTCGTAACACAACACCAGCTAAGCATCATTGTCAAACACAAACAGAAAAAAAGCTTTATTAAGAAATGGCAAAATACATATACAAAAACACCCACTTCTTCGCTACAATGGATCCTAAAAGAATTATCAAAATGTCTTAAAAGGTTTTATTATTCATTCAAAATATTTCCCCAATTCTGACTGGCTAAAAGCACACGCATAATTCACGATAACCAGTTACCGATGACCAAATTTGGAAGAATTTTGTGTTTAACAAGGAAATGACGTCAAAAATGCAACCTTCTGCAGGTTAATGCACCGTTAACTGAGAAGACCTGGGAACGAGATTCAGTTGGTGTTGTTGTTTTTGTAAAAATAAAATGATGGACACTTCACTCGTTTCGAGAGTAAAAACTACAGCTGGAACTAGGCGAAATAATGGCTAATAACATAGCAAAAACAGCAAGAAGACAATTCGGAGGGCGACATCTCAGGGGCACCCAACGGCAATTTTCGGGAAACTATCTTTTCGGAAGACGATTTGAGATCTAGAATTTTCGGAGCATTTGTTGTAAAATTTCTTGCTTGCCTGCCTTTCCTAGGATTTTCGAACACCTACAAAATAGTATAATTACCCATTTTTAACGGATTTTGACCCTAAAAAAAGGCCTCCTAGAATTTTCGGGAGCCTTTTCCTGGCTGAAATTTTCGGGAAGGTAAGTTTTTATCCCTATAATTTTCGGATCACTAGACTTTCAGCTAGGAAATCCGAACAGATGAAAAGTTTTTAGGGGATAAAAATATGCCTATATCTACCGTTTGAATACTAAAATACGTTCAACAATGCTATGTTAAGTGGTTTTGAACTAAATCCTCGTTGGGTGCCCCTGACATCTGCTATTTGGAGAATATTTGCGGAGTTGGACAAACCTAAGCGTAAACTATCGAAGATAAAGTTAACATCGATGCAGGGAAGCTTGTTTTAGCTATGTTTTTAAACTAGGAATTATTTTGAATGAATAATAAAACAATTATTGAATTCGATCTCCATAATTCTTCATAAGATACNCGAACAGATGAAAAGTTTTTAGGGGATAAAAATATGCCTATATCTACCGTTTGAATACTAAAATACGTTCAACAATGCTATGTTAAGTGGTTTTGAACTAAATCCTCGTTGGGTGCCCCTGACATCTGCTATTTGGAGAATATTTGCGGAGTTGGACAAACCTAAGCGTAAACTATCGAAGATAAAGTTAACATCGATGCAGGGAAGCTTGTTTTAGCTATGTTTTTAAACTAGGAATTATTTTGAATGAATAATAAAACAATTATTGAATTCGATCTCCATAATTCTTCATAAGATACTCAGTCTCATTCATTAATTGTTAAATTATACGCCGGTTGAGGTCCTACGGCATGCTATTCCATGAAATTTGCTGGCCTGTATATTTCAAGTTCGCCACGCACGGTTGCGACCGGAAGCCACCATGAGAAACCAATTTTACCTAAAATAATGAGACAAAAAAGCTTTAATAACTATAAACCATTAAATTTAAACATCCATCATACCCTCAAGAGATAATATTTGTGTTTTGATCAGCGAAAAAAGAGCGAATTTAAGAAAAAATGTCCCATCTTCGCAGGACTTAGCATAAGGAAATTGAAACCTTCGTCTTGCATCTTAGCGGAAAAAGGGCAGAAAATGCGATGTTTCAAAACGATCAAACCCATAAAAATCGCGAGGTCGAATGGGGTCGGAGCGTGGGACTAGTATCAAGCACCCCTTGTCCGCCGATTGAAATAACTTATTAGGGCAAAACCTTGCTAGAATAAAGACACTTTTCGATGATTGAAAGTCATCTAAATAAATATTCACTTGCGAGTTAAAACAGCCTGGCTTGACAGGGTCGTAAACGAGAGCAATAATGCGTAAAATGACCATGGAAACATTTTACATTATTAATCAGATACCAAAGATTAACAAGGCTCATTGAAACTTACCTTGGATGAGCTGCATCTTGAAATTCAGGTCGTTGAAAATCTCCCTCGAAACCCTCGAATGCTCTTTCCACCGCGGAGAGAAGACGAAAATTAGCCGCTAAGCATCATGGGATATATGAAATTCCCCCCTTTTGCCGGCGCGAAATTAGCCCCGATGTCACCTGAACACCCCCTTACTTTCTAACTCAAACATCACCCTATTCGCCGAAGTCTTTATACTGTATGGAGCTTTTGTCCAACGATTATACCATCCTCCAAAGAGACCTAGCCTGACTACACAAATGGAATTTAACGGAAGCATATGTAGTGTTACATATCTCCAAGAGAAAAGCTTCTTGTGCGACTGGAAGGAAGTACACCTTTGATGAACAACAGCTCAAATGGATACAATCCATTATATACATGCATGTTAAAGCAACCGCTACGAACATCGTATAAACTTACAGAGAACATCAACTGTACAGTTCTTGGTGTAGTTCCCAATGATATTTTTAGCAATACATAGATATACGCCTCCATCTTTTCGACTGATGTTCAAGAAAAGTAGCCTATCACCAGAAAAAACTTGCCCTGTACTTTCTATGATCCACTCAATACTGGGCACAGGATTACCAGTCGCATTACACCCAAGTGTTGCATTATCACCCTCAATAACTGGAGTGGAACACTGATGTAATGTCACTTTTGGCGCAACTGAAAAAAAAAATGTACACATTAGTACAAAACCAAGTACGTGATTAAAACCCCGGTATTAATGGTTCACTATGATAGATTTTAAAGATGATTTTATTACAAAATGTAAAGCAGAGAGGTGTCAGCATGAGCAGACTTTTGGACAGATTTTTTTAATCTGAACTCACACATTACGGTAATCGAGGCGCTCACTACGTCGAATCCAAGGCTATTGTTTACTTCACAGTTGTATACTGCTCCATTATCTTCACCCCTCAGGTTTGTTAGATTTAGAATCTCCGATGTTGACAGCAAAGTAATGTCTCCTATTTTTGTCCATGTGATGTCTGGTTGGGGATTGCCTGTTGCATTGCAGAAGAGGGTCAAATCACTTCCTTCTAACGCTGTGTAATTTGATGGAGCAGTGACAATGACGGGAGGAACTGTAGAGAAAACAATCAAATTAAGCCTTAGTCAAATAGCTAGCACATTCAAAAAACGATTCAAAAGTGAAAAAAGAATAATTTATTCAAGACGGTAGAGCTTCGTATCAAACTTTATGTTGTTGTGAATCTCACAAACCAAAGTTCTTGAAGAAAAGTCGTGCCAAAATAGAAGTGAAATTAGAAAGCTGTCTGGAGAAGCTGCTACAAGGGTCAAAAAAGCGAATTACATAACATTTTAACAATTATTAAGAGTAACAACAGGAATTATAAGACATTTATCAACTATTTTCCGAAGTGCAGGTGTATATTGACGCAGTTATTTTAGTTGATTAAAATAGTCCCTTTGATTAAAAAAAAAATCAACTCCAACATGATTGGCTTCTTACAGTATGGCCGCCGTTATGTTGAATTAGGTACAACAATAAACGGTCGACATGACGTCGTGAGAAACTTTATCTAATAGTAGGGACCTTAAGATCCGACGACGGCGGATGTCTACGACGGCGAGCGGAAGTTGGAAATATTTGCCTGCGCATTTCCGGTAGCCGTCGCGTGAGGTTTCCCGCCTTAGCTGTGTTGTCTGAGACGTCAAAACGAAGTGTTTGCCGTCTTGTCTAAAACGTGAGTAAATTTCTCTTATTTTAAGGCCATTTCAAAGGAATTTATCGAACATTTTCAATTTGTAATGAAGTGACAATTTTTTCCTAGCTTGTGACAATTGAAAATAGGTAGTAGAACTCGTTTAAAAGCGAAAATTGACTGGTTTCTTTCTCCTCCTAAACAGCTTCGAAAGTTCGTGTCTGCAAATAAGCCTCAGTGGAAATGATCTCAAAGAAAACAGTGCAGTAAGTAGTTGTCAACTCATTTTTCCTTCTTAATGAAAGCTAAACCATAAATTTAATTGAATAATTTACCCAAGTCTGTTTGAGCAAAAGTTTGTTGAAGGTAGATGTAATTATGATTTTTCAGATCAAACATGGAGTGGACGGAGGAACATGACAACTGCTTGTGCCAAGAAATTTTAGTACTTGAACCCTTTAAGTACAAGAAA